AGCTTCATAGTAAGTTTACCTACTTAATCCTTAATTTAAATGCTTTTTTCCCCCATATGTATAGTCCATAGATGGCGGTTTCCTTGCCAATAAAATACAATATTATTGCTAAGGCTGAGTTCCTCCCAACTACCACATCTAGACTTCTAGAAAAGTTTTAAATAAAATGCAAAATCTGACTTAATTAGTTTTCATTTCTCTGCTTATCTTCCATTGAAGGAATCAAAATGATTTCATGGCAGGCAGCACAGGGAAAAGGTAGGAGAAGCAAAGGCTGGTTGAGTTGTAGGTTGAGTGATAAGATCCTGAACTATCAGGAGTTGATTGAGAGAAACAACCCTATTGAAATAATGTGAACATTGCTGTTTTTAGGTGGCTACAGTGTCAATGGAGGATCTGGGGAAAATACTTATGGTCGGAAGTCGTTGGGGCAAGAGCTGAGGGTTAACAATGTGACCAGCCCTGAGTTCACCAGTGTTCACCATGGCAGTCGTGCATTAGCCACCAAAGACATGAGGAAATCACAGGGTAAGGCTGGTGAAGCTGGGACCAATCACACGTTCCTCCACGAAGACTTGTGTCTTCTCTTATCCTGGATGTCTCATTTCTTAGTAGTGCGTTGCACGGGTGTGAATTGATTATTGTGAGTTGAAAAACATGTGCAGGTGATAATTGCATTATTTTCCTATGAACTGCTTATTTCCCACAAGAAAGGTTATAATACTTTTTAGAAAAGAGTTTTATTAAAATAAGAAGACTGCATAAGATCTTAAAGGAAGGCCTTTCCCAATTATTGTGAATACTGAATGTACAGTGTATAGTGGGCTTTTACTGCAGCAGGTCCGTGAATTCTTGGGCTTGTGGAGGATATGGGTATAGAGCATATAGATAGAGTGGGCCCTTTTCTAAAGTTAAATACACCGGTACCCCTTTTTGCCTTGCAACACAGCTCTCACTGTGTAGGTAACATGCCTTGAAATTTCAGAGGATTAGAGGTAATGGTAATTTTTTTCCTTAAAGGGAAATTTATTTTATTGGTAAAGGTGAGCATGAAATTCAGATTTATGATTTATATGCTTTGTTGAATATAATTACTTTTTGGACATTTAGTTGGACCATTTTTTTTTCTAGTGTGTGTATCTTGGTGAAAATCTTTGTGTCTATAGCTTTTTTTCCACGTAACTTTTAAAAAACTGATTTATTTTGTGAGGTTTTCAGAAGTGGAATGACTGAGTCAAAGCCTGTGCTGTTTCTTAGTAGAGTGTTTGAAGCCTTAGAATTTTATAGAAGCTAAAAACTGACTTTAAAGCTAATTTAATCCAATTCTTCTTCCTCACAGGCTCAGAGTTATGTAGTTTGCCAGTGACAGAATTGTAAATAGAGCCTAGATTTCCCACCTGGTAACTAATGACATTTGTTTTTTTCTTTTTCTTTTTTTAATTTCCTCCTTGTTACTAGATCCCTTAATGACATTTTTGGTGTCTGTCCTTATTAAAATACTCTATGGGTCTAGGGATTAGTAAAAATCCTTTTCTTCTCTTAGATGTTGTAGTTTCTTTTATTATCAATTTTTTTCATGCCTTAGAGAAAAATGTAACTGTCAGACCGTTTGGTGTGGTTTGTATATGTGCATGTTGGCTGATTATGGTAAGTAGCACAGTAGAAAAAATTCTTAATAAATTAGTTCTTAAATGCCTCTTTATTGTACCAATAGTGTCCAGCGTTGTTTGAGCATTTGTGCTTGTTCTTGGGATTAAAAAATAAAGGGGAAAAAGGTTCTGGTTTGCCACTTTTTTAGTGGAGGCATGCATACCTTGCACGTGGTAGGTGGTAATTAGACATCTGTTGAACCGAATGTGTGATTGCGGTTTGCCAAAAATTTGTCCTATGGGAATGATGATAATGTGAACAAGAGGTTCCCCTGTGGTGTGATACTTAGATGAGAAATAGTTGTTTATGGCCTTTTTTATCTGATTGAGACTTTAATCTCTAACCTGTAGAAGTCATTTACCTATACTGATACTCTTCACCTGGATGTTGAAAACAGTGTGGAATGGACCTGAAGAAAATAGTTTCTAAGCCTTTCTTTTTTCTCTCTCAGTTGATCCTCTGGAACCAGGTGTTCAGTTTGCTTAGGGTTATTCATTCATTCTTTTTTTTTCCTCTTTATTTTTCATTTTTTCCACAGATACTATGGTGACTTATTCTTTACTTCAGCAAATATTTTTTGTGGGCCTGCTTTGTGCCAGGCACTGTGCTGGGGCTTGGTGCATAGAGATGAACAAAACAGTGACAGGACCTACATTCATTGAGCTTTTATTGTCCAGTGGGCTTTGATTTTTGATGTGCTTTAAAATATTTGGGCTATAAAGTTTCTATGCTTATTTATACTCAATGGGCAGCAACATGTTTGTATTCACAGAGCGATCGATGTCTTATTCTGATGAGTCTCGACTGTCGAATCTTCTTCGGAGGATCACCCGGGAAGACGACAGAGACAGAAGACTGGCTACTGTAAAGCAGTTGAAAGAATTTATTCAGCAACCAGAAAATAAGCTGGTAAGTGTAGTATGTTTATGAATGTTGTTAATTTTTGTGTTTCCATCATAAACTAGGTAATGCTATCTGGAGTGGTTTAAGAAGGGAAAAAGATTTGCTTTTAAGGAAAAATAACATGGATTCCTTATTCATATTTATTTGGCTTGTATTATGAGCTAGAACTTTTTTTTTTTTTTTGAGACAGAGTATCACTGTGTTGCCCGGGCTAGAGTGCTGTGGCGTCAGACTAGCTCACAGCAACCTCAAACTCCTGGGCTCAAGCGATCCTCCTGCCTCAGCCTCCCGAGTAGCTGGGACTACAGGCACGAGCCACCACGCCCGGCTAATTTTTTCTATATATTTTTAGTTATCCAGATAATTTCTTTCTATTTTTTTTAGTAGAGACGGGGTCTCGCTCTTGCTCAGGCTGGTCTCGAACTCCTGAGCTCAAACAATCCGCCCGCCTCGGCCTCCCAGAGAGCTAGGATTACAGGCGTGAGCCACCGCGCCCGGCCTATGAGCTAGAACTTAATCCTCCCTAGTGTGTAATTTATCTACTTCTGTCTATTGTTGGATCCACATTGGTGCTTCTTCGATAAATTTTTAACACTTTTTAAATTTTTATTTTTTTAGAGACAGGGTCTTGCTCTGTCACTCAGGCTGGAGTGCAGTGGTGCAGTCCCAGTTCACTGCAACCTCAACCTCCTGGGCTCAAGCGATCCTCTTGTCTCAGCTTCTTGAGTAGCTGGTACTACAGGTGTGTGCCACCACACCAGGCTAAATTTTTAAAATTTTTTTGTAGAGACGTGGTCTGACTATGTTGCCGAGGCAGGTCTTAAACTCCTGGCCTCAAGAAATCCTTCCCTCTTGGCCTCCCAAAGTGCTGGGATTACAGGTGTGAGCCACCACACCTGGCCTAATTTATAACAAATTTTGTCCTGGGGGCAAATCCTGTTTTCCTCAGAATTTTTCTTTCTGTGTTCCAGGACAGAATATCTGTTTATTTTTCATATGTGAAATGGGGTACATATTTTGTTCATGTGTGAATTTGGTCTGGTGGCCAGGGATAAATAAATGGAAAAGCCCTTTAAAAAACAAAGTTCAGGAGCAGTTTCTCCACTCCAAGTAATTCTAATATTCTAATTAAGAACTTGATATGGAGCAGGAGAAAACTAGTGAGAATGGTATGGTGAGGCAAATGACATTTAGTGCAAAGCTCCCCCAAAGTTTTATTATGAGGAGTTTCAAATATAGGGCAAATTGAAAGAATTTTACAGTGAACCTCTTATGTCTGCTGTCTAAATTTTGTCATTAACATTTTATCATATTGCTTTGTCACGTATGTCTCCGTCAATCCATTTTCAGGGTAAATAAAACAAGCTTTTTGAAGTGGTGTTTTTCATCGATAGTGGCTCTGTGTTTCCTATGGGTGAATTTCTTTCATAGTCTGAAAGGAAATTTATGACATTCCTGATAAATGCTAATTGGGGACTGGGACCGGGAATAATAAGGAAACTAAAGTGCTGTCCAATTATAATTTGGAGGGGAAGACAAGTAAAAAGTAAAAAAGTACACAATGTTATTCTTGAAAGTATAGGAATTTGAAGTTTTTATGTGTTTTTTTTAAAGGTACTAGTTAAACAGTTGGATAATATCTTGGCTGCCGTACATGATGTGCTTAATGAAAGGTAAGTAACTAATAATGGCTAAATTAAAATGACTTTAGAATATATTTTTAGAAATAATTTACAAATATACAAGAGGGTAATAAACCCATTGGCTTCATTTATGAATGTCAGTTTGACATTTCACTGGGTCCTCTTGTCATTTTAATATTCTATATTATTTATTTGTTAATTACCATTAAATACACATGGAATCTACTGGAAAGGAATTTTTTTTTTTTTTAATTTGCCAATCTGAGTAACAACGCTGACTTGTGGAATGCAGTAAGGTCTTTGTTGCAGGCATGAATGAATGCAGTTAGTTTATGAGGACTTTAAAACTGCTTAAGAGAATAGAGGTAAAAAGGAGCCTCCTCCTTTGGGCAAGAGTCTATTTAAACCATCTATGCTCTGGCTACTGGGGTTCTCAGAGGTGTGCAGTCATTTCTTCATCTGGTGATTCCCATAGAATTACGGTGTTGGAAAGCTCCTCAAACTCAGCTCAGCAGGTCACAAGCCTTACTGCCTTTTGAAAGTTTTATTTTATACAGTTGCTTAATAATATTATACTCAAATCAAGGTTGTTATTAAGTTTATATATTTAACTGTTACCATTTCCTATTTTACAATCCTTATATATTGTGCATTGTATAGAATGTAGTCATTCATAGGGTGTTTTATCTAATACTTTGTTGCTGCCCTTTTCTGAGAACCATTTAATGTAGTTTGAGGTAGAATTTGAATCCTGAATTTTAGCATTTCTGGGCCTTTCTTCTCTGTTAATTAATTGATTTTGGAAAAGAAAATAAAATGTCTGACAAAGGTACTTTGGGACACTGCAGGATAGAGAGAATACAGTATTTAGAGTGGATAAAATCTCAACCTTTTATGTAGTTTGAGTAGAAATTTTAAAAAATCATTTAAATTGTTCTTTTGTAAGATGGGTCATTCTTGTCTTTGTTGAAAGCTTAAGTCTTTGTGTTTTGTTTGTATTAAAATAAACAGTAGCAAATTGCTTCAGGAATTGAGACAGGAAGGAGCTTGCTGTCTTGGCCTTCTTTGTGCTTCTCTGAGCTATGAGGCTGAGAAGATCTTCAAATGGATTTTTAGCAAATTTAGCTCATCTGCAAAAGATGAAGTTAAACTCCTCTACTTATGTGCCACCTACAAAGCACTAGAGACTGTAGGAGAAAAGAAAGCCTTTTCATCTGTAATGCAGGTAAGAATGAAGGGAAGAAAATTGATGATGTACTTGGGAAGAAAATTGTCCTTAACATGTGTCCTTGGAGAAAGGAAACTTAGAATAAGGGTTATCTACTGATGGTAAATGTGATGTAAATTAAATGCTCCTTTCTGAGTTTGAGTAAGGGATACACATTAAAGGTAGATTTAAAATAAGTTAGTCTTTTCTATTTTGTCTCTTTGCTTTTTAGAAGCTTTCCTTTGAAGTTGCTTAGGACCAGAGTGATTTGCAGATTTGAAAATAGAAACTCCACCAGGAGAGCTGGACAGGAGGGTGCTTCACATTTGTTGAGGGAGACAAGACCTAAACATCACAACTAATTTCTAAGGCTTTTTAGGTTTGATAACATATCAAAAATTCTTATTCCAAGTGGTATAAGACAATTATGTATAAACAAATACCAGCTCTACTTAGCTTTATTTCACTTTGTGTATCTGAATATATTAAAAGATGATTTTTGATGTAGTTTTGAGCAAGATTTTAAGTAAGTAAATTTTTGTTGAGTTAATGTTTTTTAAAATAAGAATATTGTTATGTTTGAAATAATCTTTTTTGCAGGGGGCTTCTAGACAATTCTTGATATGCTTTGTTTTGGGCATGTAGGTTTAAAAAAGGTTGTAATAATTGTTTTAAAAATGTGTTTTTTTCTTTAATTATAGAGTTTGTGAGAAAAACTTGGGGAAGGATTCAGAACACTTTTTGGAACTAAATAGCATACCACAAGATTGGGCTTATTCTGCATACAGTTTTTATGTTAACATATCCCCAGTTATTTATTTTGGAAAATTTCAAATCCACAGGAAAACATATGGACCAGTGTAGTAAATACCCGTATATCCTTTACCTAGATTTATCACTTACTAACATTTTGCTAAATACCTGTATATCCTTTACCTAGATTTATCACTTACTAACATTTTGCTAGTTTTATTTTCTCACATTCACACACACACTAACACACACTTTTTTGTTGAACCATTTGGAAATGAATTACACACATTTTGACAGTTCACATTATATAATATTTCTTTAAGCATTTCCTAAGATTAAGGCCATTCTTCTATATAACAACAGTATTAATATCATACCTAAGATAATGAGTTTTATAACATGTGCATCCATATTCAAATTTCTGCAGTTATCCCTAAGATGTCTTTTATAGCTTTATGTCTTACTTGACCCAGGATCCCATCTAGACCCAAGCAATTTCTTTGGTGGTATGTGTCTTTAAATCTCTCTTAATTTAAAATGGTTCTCCACACCTTTTTTGTTCCCCTTATTTTGTAGAATGCTCTACTTTCTTGGGTTTGTCTTATTGTTCCTTCCTGATTAGATTCAATTTAAACATTCAGGCACAAGTACTTCACAGGTTGCATCACACCAGCAGGCACATGTTGTCAGGTTGTCTCACTCTTTGACATGCAGAGTTTGATCATCTGGTTGAGGTGATGACCACCAGATCTTTCCATTGTGAAGGCATATTTTTTCTCCTTTATAATTAGTGAGCAGTCTGGACATGATACCTTGAGACCTTCTGAATATCCTGTTTTTTAGTAATATTTCACTGAATACCTTTAGCATTGATAT